TGTTAGCAGTAATTCAACAAGTGTTTTTATATATATGTAGCGTTTGTAATTAACAAGTTTGCATATCAGATTACAATAATTACATGGATCATTCACTATTTTATGAACATTTCTCATTTTCTATCTATATCTATATGTTTTTCTCTTCTTTCTCTCACTCTTTCTTGTGTGTGTTTATGTGTATTTTCACGGTGTTACCGTCGTTTTTCTCTCTCGTTTTTCGCACTTGCCCGCAATGGCAGTTCCGTCGGCGGCACCCCGTGTGCAAACTCCCGAAGTGCGAGACGGAACTCCTGTGAAATCATGTCGCCGAGATTCCCCGAGTCAGCCTGTTCAAACAGTTGCAGAGGAGCGCATGCAATGGCTGCTACAAACTACTTTAACAGTTACCCAACACCTGTAGCACAACGCAAACACTGCGCTCTGTGGTCGAGATTTACCTGCAGCGCGCGGCTTGTTGTTTTAGACATGTTTTTGCTGTTACGTTTTTGACTGGGGCTGTAAATCACGAAAATTTCCATTATTTATTTGATGTGTAATAAATACGTGTTGGCAGCTGAGTTTTTCTGGGGGGGGGGGGGATTTATGCACGACACACACCACACACACACACACACACACACCACACACACACACACACACACACACACCACACACACCACACACACACAGATTTATCTCGCTATGGTTTTTATTCCACGCCCGATATTGGCTGTTTAATTGCGCTTCCTCTAGCTTCGTTCAGTTTTGATTATTTTCACAACCAACTGTAATATTTGAAATGTAAATATCACCGTCGACGGCAATTTCCCCTGACCTCGATGTGTTTTATTTATTTTAGTTTTTTGTCACTGTGTTCTGTACGTGGGACTTGTGTAACATTTGCTGTAACACGATGATCTTACGACACAAGACTGCATGTTAAAACCCGATCCTGTCTTTGCAGGCGACAGCGGCGATGGGAATTGTATTTTTTACTTATTATTTTTTTCCGTTGCCTTTTTTCCTTCTCTTTCCGTTTTTTTTCTCTCTCTTTTAATTGATTACGCCCATTTTTTCCCCTACGTTAAGCCTTAGACAAGGGAGGAAATGCGGCCGAGAGGAGAGCGAGGGAAATGCAGTCCGGCCGCCGGGGTCAACTCCGCCGGCCGCGGGAGGAGAGCGAAAAAAATACGAACCAGGCCTGCCAACATGAATTCCCCGTCTCCTCCTTTCGCAACTGTTATCGCGTCTCGCATTTACGGAGTCGCCGGTCCGATTACGGCTTGGGTGAAGGCGGGATTGCGGCGAGGTCTTGAGAGAGGTTTCCCGGCGCTGCGTGCGAGATAAAATGTTAATGAGGAAAGAGATAGGAGTTGTATACCCTATTCACGCGGTTCACCTTGAAGTCAGTGACCTGCGGGTAAATGCCTCGAAGGGTTATTTTCCTAACCTTTGGCTAGAGGTTTCAGCCATAACGGCGATGACTACAAACCTTGATTTAATGCGAGAGAAACAGTTGGAAACCGGATCATATTGCTGATATTGATGGTATTTTGCGTGCATAACGTGCAAGCCAAACTCATCGTGTATGTAGATGTGCGTAAAGAATCTGTTCCATTAGCAGGACTTTTAACTAATACGAACTTTATGTATGCATGTATTATATTAGCTTTTAGACGAATATATGTATATATGTATATGTATTTATATGTATATATATGTATATGTATATGTATATTATATAATGTATATATATGTGTATATACATATATGTATATATATATATATATATATATATATATATAAAATACATATTACACTTTCACACGCGCCTATTCGTTCACTAAGGCATGCATGAACCTGTTCGCGTGTGTGCGAGTAGACACACGCATACCCAGTTAAAATTACCGCCCATCAGTCATTCTTGCGGTGGTCGCCAAGCGTTAAAAGGCAATGACGTGCTCCCCGAAGGCGACCAGACCGATCTGCGAGGGAAAAGTGCTGCTCTTAAGGAGGTGTTCGCAAGGATCCGAGCGAGAGGCCGCCGCATGGTGTCGCGCGCCAAAACCGGCGCCTTCCATTGACGCTTTGGATTTCCTGGCGCGAGCGAAGAAAGAAAAGGTTAAACCGGTGCGTTTCTTGGTGATATTTACGGGAATCAATGAGGAGAATGAAGTTTCTCCGTAATGAGTGGTGTGGATAATTGAATTAGATTTTGTGCTTTAATTTTCGAGTTCGTTGTAACGTGCCAGATATCACGGGGGCGGGAAGTGCTATAAGTTAACGGTATTCAACCCCGTTTAAATCAGCGGAGGTCTACAATTTATATTTGTCATTCTGCATGTTCTCGCACAAAACATAAATTGTGTGAGGCGTTGTTGATGGCCCCTCTTCGATTTGTGTGAATATGTGCGCTATATTTCCTACGAAATTATGTTCTGTAGCTCTTCACTTTTATGGTCTTCAGATATTTTTTCTCACAGGTTTAATATATTTATACTCTCTTAAATGTGTTGACAACTCCATGAATAGCGACATTAATCAGTGTTTTATTAACTTTTTAGATCTATTATTTTAATATATTATTGTCAAGAGGTATAACGGTACATGTTTGGTTCATGTTTTCTAGGATACGTGTAAACAGTTGTAAACATTGACCTTTTGTGCTTTCGCCAAGGCAGATCATTCATCCTTATCTGTATCGCGTATTCTGAACGTGTCAATTATCTTTTTTTCCTTGTTACCATCATGAATATTAATATCGTGGTCAAAGTCATGCTTACCCATAATCAGAAGCAGGAATAATTAGTGAGTTATATCATAACCGGTGCGACATTTCTAGTAGTGTAGTGAGGTCTCATTATTTGAATAGTGCTGATAATAATCCTTATCTCAGGTGGCATTCTCTCACTCTTTCAGTTTTTTGCCATGATTTATATTGCATTTCTTATCAGCAAACATCTCATTTAATTCAAACTGCAGTTACCCGATTTATTTTGAGTTTTACGCATATTAAATTACTTTTATATATGCAATGTCTTTGTTTTTTCATGTTGATGAGTAGAATCCATACTGTTAGATTGTCATTTTTAGTAGTGTAGTGAGGTCCTATTATTTAAATAGTGCTGATAGTAATCATTGTCCCAAATAGCATTCCCTCACTCTTTCCGTTCTCTGTCCGTGTGTACTCCATATATGCGATTATGAAATTTGACGTTTTACTGATTTTGTCTTGCGAGGATGAACATCAAATTCCATTTTCCTTGATCGCTAACGTATGACGTTGAATTGTCGTCTGTACCGTGACACACACAGCGCCATTACACCTGGTAGAACTCACACGTGTGCGCAACCGTTATGTGCACAGCGGCGGCGGGGAACTCCACCTACACCGTGTGTTGCCAGAGTAACGATAACCCTAAACATTGTTTTATGTACTCTTGCATGAGCTGTTACCGCATAGGTGTAAAATTGGTGTTTAGTGTAATTAATGTTTTATAGTTTGTTTTAGTTGCCAGTTATCTCTCTGTCTTCATTTGGTTTTGGACGATTTTTGAATGTGTGTTCGCTGCCTCTGACACCGCCAATGTTTTCTGGAATTTTGTGTAAAAAGATACGTCGGAACCTGCAATAATGATTTTTTATGTATAAGGGTCTGAGAAGGAAGAGAAAGGGATAAAGAGATTAGAGAATACAAGACTAAGAGGACCATTCAGGGTCTAAAAAATAATTATGAGATAGCAAGTCAGTCATAACAATAAGAAAAGGTATTGCAATAATTTTTTCTTCCTGCCTTCGTCCATATCACCAATTCCTGTCTGACATAGCAATCATTGTTGTAGGTCATTGGCGTTCACGTGGGTGCTGACCATGAAGAGAGGGGGAGGGGAGGAGGTAGTGGCCCATCACTCACGGCATCTCAACCCCATGATTATTTTATGAAAATATGATTGCGAACTGCGGGGCTTGTTTATTTTCTTTCTTTTTCTTTTTTTTCTTTTATCCACAAAGAAACATGTAGCACGACATGCGATAGGCAACTTCCTCCGCTGTTTTGCCAAGCACAGTAACCTAGTAACGGGTCTCGTAGCTGGCCAGCCATCAAGTATTTGTTGTTTGGGTCTTCCCTCCCTTCTCTTCCTCTCTCCCTTTCCTTCTCCCTATACCTACACCCCCTTCTCTCTCTCTCTTTATCTATCTATCTCCCCCCCCCCTCCTTCCCTCCCACATTCTCCACGTCTCTTCCTCCGCTCTTTCCAACCATACTGTTTTTCATCTTCAGGGAAATGAGTTAGTAATGGACAAAGTAATTCGTGAAGGATTAGCGATTATTGCCGTATAGTATATTGACCCAAACGATGTGGCGAGGCCTGTTTTCGCGGGACAACGGCTGATGT